TCCTTCTTTCCTTCTGTGCTTCTTTCCTTCTTTCCTTCTTTCCTTCTTCTTCTTCTTCTTCTTCTTCTTCTTTCCCTCCTTATTCTTCTTCTGCTCCTTCTTCTTCTTCTCCTTCTTTCTTTTTGGCAAGATGTTTGCCGATTTCACCGTCTTTCTCACAGCCCAGTCTTCGTGTTAAGTCTCTGTGTTTTGGACTGGTGATTTTTGCTGAGTAAGAAACAAGAACATCCCGGGGTCGAAAACCACTACTTCAGGAAGAAGAAAGTGTTTTCTTCTTCCCGGGTCTCATAACATCTAGGTCCTAGGTGGATCAGCCACAGTCGAATTGAGAAGTCCATTATCACCTTTTTTCAAATCTATATCAATCAATTAAACAGCCAGGAGGGAGGAGAGTCGACTGTGGAAAAGGTTGTCAATTTGGAACCTTCAAGAAGAAACAGTTTCCTCCCAGTGGTGTATACAGTGTGAAACAGGCATCGAATTTGGAGTTTCTTCTGGAAGAGAGTTTTGCCATCGAGTGTTTTGCTTCTATGAAAGGACCTTCGAACCGCAGCATACATTGAGGAGATTGAACCACGGTGCAAAAGCTGGGTCTTTGTGTATCTTTTGCAGGAGCAATTGGTACCTTCAAAGCATCATGGACAGGCTTCGTGCCGCTGTTTGCCCAAAGACCTTCGAGAGTCTACAACATGATTGTTTCTCAAGCTAGTAGTAACAGGTGCATCGCTAGTAGTAACAAGTGCCCTACTAGTAGTAACAAGAAGAATACATTAAGAAATGAAGCAACATGAAGCAAAATCGAGCGGCCTCGGGTCTCCTGCTGGGTTTGGGCCCCCAACGGCCCCCAACCGGCGGAGCGAAGGTCCACGGACCTGTCTCGTTATGGATGCCAAAGATGCTCTTGAGCAGCTCGCATGTGCCTGGACCGCGGAACCCGTCAAAGCTCCTTGGACTGGACCTTTTGCTGCGGAACATTCTGGACTCCCCCAAGCCTCTCACAAGCCTCTCACATCAGGCACAAGCCTCCCCCAAAGCCAAACATCTGTACCGGATCGTCTCGGAGCTGGGTATTCCTCGAGTCAGGTGTTGGTCGGGCAAAGACGGACGGACGGCGCCTGCCGGTGGAGGCCGATAACCCCACAAGATGAAGGGCACCTTCTGCCGCGTTGGCCTGAGAGCAGTTTCTTCTTGCCAGTTTCGGTGGGGGGCAGGTATTTGAGGCCACACACATTAAGATTGGAAGGAAAGATGCATCATGATGTACCCATGGGTTGGGAAGCCAAATCTGGAAGCCAAATCTGGAAGGAATCTTGGAGTTTCTTGGTCGATCTCCTCAACCCAAGGCTTTGAGGGCACAATGACACAAGGCCGCTGTTTTTCAGACCTTCAACCACTGTTTCTTCATGTTTTTTCGAAAGAAGTCGCATCGGTGGAAGTCGGACTGATCTCAGCGAACCCATCGATCTCAACAAAACGTCAACAAAACGTCGCCCCGGTGGCAAGAAATCCCCGGTGGCATCGATCTGCGCTGGCGAAGCCCATTTCCCAAAGTTTTGGGATGATACATCAAATCTATCCCTATCCCTTCTAATCTATGCCCTGGTATGAGAGAACCCAACAAAAACCGGACGGATGGTCTAAGTGCACCGGCTCCGGACGCCGAGCCTTCGGATCCCCCGTCGCCCCCGGACGTCTCGCCGAAGGTCTCATCCACTGAGCTGCCTCGCACATCGGTGGAGTCCAATAAGCGGCCTGAAGACGGAGGTTCGTTCGGACAGGCAGCGGAAGAAAGTGGACATGACAAGTGGACCCTAAGAACACATGGATGGAATGCTGATGAAGGGTATTCCAAGGGGAGTTCAGGGTCATAAAGGATCACATCCTTGTCGCAGTCATCCGAAACCGGTCTCCAATCTGTTTCTCCAACTATAATCTGACCCCCAAAAAGGTTTGGATGTAGAACGCCACTCTTTTCACGGCCCTCCACATCTCACACACCCCAAAACCGCAAAAAATCGCCGGTTGCTGAATTTGCCTCGACTGCGAAGTTTCTTCGGAAGCCAGTCCTCATTCGGATGAACCGAGAGGTCCGAACGAAGAACCCAGATGTGTCGCACGGGCGCCGCCCGGCGGAAAGCAAGGTTTTTTTTTTTAAAGCGGTACATACGACACCCCTTGGTCAAGAAGGACGGATGAATCATGTGAGGTTTCATCTCGAATTCTTCACGATTTTGCGAGAACAGCTCCCCAAAACAAGACAGATTGTTTGTTCTAGCCAAATAAACAAAGAGCACTATCCAACCCATCGCAATAGTGGGCTTGAAAAGGTTCCTCCTCCTGTGTATTATATATGTGCACATGGTTTTAAGCAATATATGTTACATCATGTCTCAAGCAGCGTTTTTCTCTTCGACTTGTTTTCGACCGCCTCTGGAACGCTAGGCGGTGGCGGGACCTGAGAGCGAACCAGAACACCGAGCTTCGCTCGGTGTCTGGGGGTGGCCATGGAGAGTCAAATGGCCAGGGCCTGTTCTTCGAAAAGAAACAGGCCGTTCTTGGAGAGAAAAGTGTTCACTCTGGGGAGTCACCCAGCAATTGAGGTACACGAAAAGCACTTACCATCTCCTGCTGGCGGATCGATCTCGACCACACCAGCGGCTTTTGGGTGACCCGAACCAGAAAAAAGCGGGTTCGGAAGGGATGTTCCAAAGCCGACCCAATGGGTCATGGTGAGGACATGGAAAAAACATTACAGAATCTCAAAGGGGTTTCATGGTGTGGACCTTAATTTGTTTGGGCGTGGGAAATGTTCTTTCTGTCTCAGACCTGCAAAGTCAGAAGCGGGTGGCCTTGCCCGTCATCTGGTCATCGAGGCAAAGCTCCGCCTAGCCAGAAATGGTATATTCACCTACCAAATTGTTGAGTGTTCGCTGGGTGAAAGGCGGAGCAGACATTCTCCGTACCGCCACGACAAAATTCCCTTCAGAGCAGCGCGTTTCGACCTGTGACTTGGTCCTCTAACTTGCTCCGTCGAGTGCGTCTATATAAGCCCCTAAATAAATAGAAAAGTAGATCCCGACTAAAAGTGTATTGGATATCCGTTTCTATTGATCACTATAATCCAAACCTGCGCCACGGTGGGTCCGGCGCCTTCACCCGCCATGCGGAGCGTTCCCGCCATGCGGAGTTTTCACAGGCCGAGGCCCGACTTTAGGGGGGCGCCTGGGGTCGCGCGCTTCGAACATCTGAAGCCATGCAAGCATGTGAAATGTGTGCTCTGAACTCTGAACTCCCATGAGAAAGGTGCGAAATGGTCAATTTCTGGAACTTTGACAGGAACTGCCTGGCTAGCACACTTGATGCTCGGCTCTCGACAAAACTTTGAGGCTTGAATCACTACAAGCGCTGCGGGGTTCGTCAACAACTAAACAACATTTGGTGAAAGAACGTTGGTGAGTTCATGTGATTTCAACATGCTGGTTGCATTGATCTCTGCTTCGCCCTGGTTAAATCCGAGACACCCGTTTTTGTCGCGGACTTTGATCACAAGGAAAAGCTGGTACCAAAGGCAAACTAGGTGCTCTGCCACTGTAAAAATATCCCGGCAAAAGCCCCCAAGCAATGTTTTGAGGTCAGTCCAACCGCTGGGTTTACGGTCATATATATGTGCCACACACTTAGGATATTGTGTACTGAACTGAAAGCGGTGCCACAACGCCGGCCTAGGGTTCCAATTCCTAAGAGTACCAGTAAGGACCATCGAAACCTGGAGGTCTTAAAAGGAAAAGAGGCCAAAGTCTCAAGGCGACGACGAAGCGACAGGGTAACGACGGTCGTACTTGTCTGCCGAGTGAGGTTCTGGGCTTAGCCTCATGCCATTCAGAAAGGAAGGAAAAGCGCAGGTACGTCCAGCTGGCCAAGCTGGATATCCCACCAGATTGCATAGCTTTGTTAGACACGGTCTGCAATCTGGTGCCGTGTCCCCCTGCTTTGAAAAAGGTCTAGAGGTGTAGAAGCAGAAAGTCTACAGATCTAAACGTACAGAGAGGTCTCAAGATCCAGCAGAGTGAGAGAGAGATATATATATAGAGAGAGAGAGACACTCACACAGGCTTGGAGACTTAGGGACGCAGAAGGTCTAGAGGTCTTAAGAGATCCGGGAACTCTATTAAGGTCTCGCAGTC